TATAAATTTCAAAGTTCAAAAGATTCTAAAACATAGGGAAGGTAAATAAATATACATGGGAAATTTGATAAAATAATAACTCTAACATTTATGTATGCTCCTGGTTATTGAAAATTAAGGACAGTAAAAAAAATTCCACACAGATAATTTTATAGTAAGAGGGATTTCAGTATTGACTTCAGTACTGATGCATTAGAAATTCCGACTGGAGTTCATAAGAGATTTCAAATTTAATGCATAATCATGGATTCACAGATGCAAGGACAATTAAGAATCCTGTAATGAAAGGACGTTTTATTTTGGTAGCCATAAACTGAAACTATATTAGAGCCAATTTTTTTTTAAATATCAATGCTTTTTTCCACCCAAAATATTTTTCTAGAATGAAACAGATTGTAATGGTTTATGGCAGTGATGGTGAACCTTTTAGAGACTGAGTGCCCAAACTGCAACCCAAAACCCACTTATGCATCATCGAGTGCCGGGTGGGTGTGGCCCGTTGGGTGGGTGTGGCCCATTGGGTAGGCATGGCCAATTGGGTGGGTGTGGCTGCAGTGGTAACGGCAGACTGGGCGGGACTAAAAAGTTCAATCAATCAATTCCAACTTTGCACGATCTTTTTTTTCCCGTGAGAAGTTGAAATTGATTAATTGAACTTTTTTTTTTTTTGCACATGGTGGCGGAGGCCTAAAGCAAAAAGGTTTTATAAAACCCATCTGAAGGCCTAAGACTGGGGCGACGGTGTGCGTGCCCACAGAGAGGGCTCTGAGTGCCGCCTCTGGCACCCATGCCATAGGTTCGCCACCACTGGTTTATGGGAATGACTTTGGGAGACCAAGTGAAGAGATGCTTCAGTTGCCACATTAGAAAAAAAAATCACAATTAAAATAATGAGACATCAAAGGCAGGAATTCAGTTTTATCAAATTTGGATGGATTTTATGGTTTATCTTAATAGCAACAAGTTATAATATGGTGTACTTTATATATATGATCAGTTTCTATCTGTATACTACATATTTCTTTATTTACATTGTACTAGATCTTTTTTAAACTTTCTATATTTTTTCAGTATGCATTTTGGATTTACATTAATGTAGTTACCTGATATTGGTTGTTAATCATAGTTCAATAAAAACAATGAAAAAGTGTATTAAATGTCTAAATCAGCATGTAGCAAAATTCTAGCAATTGTATAATCAGCTCATTTGAAAGAAATTTTTAACTGGAAACATAATTAAACACTGTAGATAAAAAAAAACTACAGGTTTTCTTTTCTTTATGCAATTCACTAATGCAGTTTTGCTATGATGCAATTGGTCATTTTCACCTAAGAATTCACTTTATGAAAAAAAATACTATTTGATTTGTCTCAGCATTATCCATTTGTACCAAAGTTTTTCTTGCCAAAAGCACTTAAACATTTTCCCACCAAACTCCCTTTTTGACCTTGCTTAAGCATTTGCTATCATGTTGTGCAGTTTTATTTGTATTTATGACTCTGTTCCCTAGTGCAATAGCTAGTGCTGTTATTATGATGTTAAAGTGGTTATCAACATTTTGTCCAACTCCCTTACTGAAAAGGAAAAAGACCTCACTGATGTTAAAAACTAAGTTGGGAGATAAAATATTTACCTGCAAAGGATGAAAATCCCTCAGCCCTAGAATGAGCTTTTAATGTATTACAGATAGTCTTTGTTTAATGACCCTAATTAGGACCTGCAACTCCCACTAAGCCAGCAACCCCCAACCTTTTGGGAACCAGGGACCAACAGTTCTGTGGAGAAAGATTTTTCTGCAGACTGGAGAGGGTGTGGTTCTGCATGCTGCCTGCATCCCTCGGATGGGGCTTTGCTTGTTTGCGCTTGTTTGGTTTCTAGCATGCCACAGACCTGGGGTTGGGGACCTCTGCATTAAAGTTGGAAATCACATAACTACAGTTGTACTTTCCAGTTAGAAAGAGACTAGAGTAGTTAGTTTCACACCTTCAGCTTTTGTTTGCTTCCTAACTGCTCATTCTTTGGAATGCTCAACTGCCTACTTATTGTCTTGTATATATTAAAAACAATTCAATCACACTATAGCCTGGAACTGGGAGCGGTGGGCACGCTACAAAAGCAGGTTGAAATCCCTTTGTCTCTGGTCTGTGGGAGTGGAGATAGAAAAAAGCAAGTGATTTCTGATCTCTCCTTTGCCTGATCCTTTCTCACTGCTGGTGTGATCACATTGATTTCAATATGTGGAAGAGTGAACAGCTCATTCTCTTGAAATCTCTGCAAGGCGGAAAGGTCACACAAAGGAGACATTACCTACAGAGATCACTTGCTTTTTTTCTTGCCGTTCTCCAGCCCAGAGGAGGGATTAGAGAGAAGGAGATTTCAAGAGAGTACTGTAAGCTGTTTGTGTAACATGCCCGCAGCTATCAGTCCTGAGTTGGCATATTGATCACATTGCTTTTGATGTACAGCAGAGCAAATAACTTACTTTTGTAATCCCTCTCTGCAATCTTTCTGCAAGGGGAGAAAGAAAAAGGAAATTTCAGATTAGGCACAGGACAATGCAGATTAACTGTAATGGCACTCATGTGACTATGAGATATTGCGAAGCTCGTAAATAGTTGTAAATGGGCTATAAAAGTTATTTTTTTCCAACACTGTCATAACAGAACAAATATAGTTGGTAAATGAGAAGTACTTGTATGTGAAATATTGCAAGAAGTGCTGATAAAGATGAAACAATGCTAATAAATGCAAGACAAGGAAGAAAACATGTTTGAGTAATATTGGGTATGTCTAGTTTAATGAAAAGAAAAACTAGGGATGATATTTAGCAGTGTTCCAATGTCTAAAGGATTGCCACAAAGAAGAGGGGGGTCAACCTATTCTCCAAAGCACCAGAAGGCAAAACAAGAAGCAATGGATGGAAACTAATTGTAGACAGAAGCAACCTGGAGCTAAGGAGGAGTTTCCTGACAGAGCAATGACTTGCCTCCCGTTGTGGGTGCTCCAACGCTGGAGTTTTTAAAGAAGAGATTGGACAAACATTTGTCTGAAATGGTATAGGGTCTCCTACTTGAGCAGAAAGTTGGACTAGAAGACCTCCAAAGTCTGTTTCCACTCTGTTATTCTGTTATTCTGAGAACTTAAGTAGAAGGCTCTAAAAAATTATGAACAAATTTGTCATTGCGTTTGGTTTCCAGAATTTAACACCATGCCCTTCACGCCTGTTTTTTTCCTCTGGTATAATTTATGTGAGGTTTTCAAGGAACGTAATCCTAGCATAAAGTAAGGGAAGCCTGTAGTTGTAGTTATTAGAACTGTTAGTAATAGGGTGCTGTGAAAATGAAATGTACTATGCATACTTGCAACATATTTTGAAAATGTGTTTAAGAATTAGAAAAATAGAATGGTTAATAATTTAAGAATGTTTAATTTTTAAGCAGATTTCACATTGTCTTCATCTATTATTCAACTATATGAAAGGTTTGCTTATGATCTTCTGCCTTCCTTATAAAATGTTGTTTTTTTAAAAAAAACAAACAGGAAAGCTGAAAACTGTATTAAAAATACAGTGTTTGTTTTATTTTCCTTGATTATGAAAACAAGTCTTGTTATTCTGAAACTGCGGTAACTTACTTGATATTAAGATAGGGTAACTTCATTAATTATGAAAACATTAAAAATGGTAACTACCTTTTTCTAAAAGAACTAATTTGGTAACTTTAGAGTAGAAAATTGAATTCTGATGTTACAAAAAAGAAAGAAAGGACAACGTTGATTTTTGGTATACTGAAAAGAAAGATAGAAAAATGATATACTGATTTACCTTATGATTCAAAATTCATTATTACAGCAGATCCTTGTTAGTTCAACTCAAAGACTTATGTTCTATCAAAAAAAGAATGTACCAGCTTCCGTGTTCTGTAGGACATTCCTGAAGGCAACAGGGTAAACAAGATAGATTTTCCACCTTGGGTTTTACTGTAATTAAAATAGAGAAAGGCTCCCTTTTTGAGTTAGGCGAAGTATGATTTAACATTCTAGAACAGCAGTCCCCAACTTTTGTGGCTTGACAGCCTGGTGGGGGAAGGGGAACTGGGCTCTGTAACTGCGGGCTGGCACAGCTTAATTTGTGCAAGTGGTGGGCTGGCGCACACACGCATGCTTGCACAGCTCGACTTATGTGAGTTGAGCTGTGTGTGTGTGTGTGCATGTGTGCCGACCCACTGCTTGCGTGGCCTGGTTGCAAATAGGCCATGGCCCAGTAGTTATGCATAAGATTTGTAATTTTTGGAGGGTTGCTAAAGTGCATTATAGGGAATTCTTGATTTATCACCATAATGGAATCTGGCATTTCCATCATAAGTCATGTTGGTCATAAGTTGAGATATCACTATGATTGTACCTAATATTATGAGTTTTTTGCAGTAGTTGTTAAGTGAACACAGTAGTTGTTAAGCATGTATTTCTGTGGACTTTTTTTGCTGGAAACCAGTTGAAAAAACTAGAAACTGGCAAACAAGTTGTAAATCATGGTCATGTGACTTTGGAACGCTAAAACCAGCCATAAAAAGTGATTTGGTTGCCAAGCATACAAAATATGGTCATGTGATTTCAAGTGTGTGTGCAGTCAATGGAACTTGAGAACAGGGTCTTAAGTAGCTTTTGTGGGGGTCTCTCATACCTTTGACTGGTTGATAATGTGAGGACTACTTGTATAATTTTTAGGAAACAAATATTATAAATTATGTAGACAAGCTGCTTTTCAAAAAGGGTGAGGAGAGCAAAGGCTGTCTGATACAATTTTTAGTTGCACGTTCCCTCACCTTCTTGTTGGTTTATTATGATGATTGATTTGGCTCTATTTCTGTGCCTTTTGAAAAAAGCATATAGCACTGAAATAGAAAGGCAAGATAGAAATATAAAGAAAGAAATGGGCTTTAAAGAACTATTGTGAAGAGAAGATTTTTCAGTATGTTTTATTTATTGCTATGTATTACAGAGAACAATATACCTGTAATGGAAAACTAGCCTTAAGATCACATTCTACGAGTCCTCCTCATTTGTCAGAAGATGAGAACTTTCCATCAAAGACAAGGGTAAGGATTTTCCATATTTGCAGTAACCAGCTTTTTAAAATTTCAGAATGCAAAAAATGAATGTAACATGCAAGAAGTTAAAACAGAAAAAAGGCAGAACTGATGTCAAGTATGTATGTATGTATGTATGTATGTATGTAATGTTATATTGCAATGTGTTTTAAACTACAATGATGTTTTGCAATAAAGTGCTGAGTTGGACCCAATAAAGAACATGGAAAAAGATAGCATTGTAATTTTATTTTTCAACATTAAGGTATTTAGTCAATACTAAACTATTTAGATTTTTTGGGCCTTAATAATAGTCATTTGAAGATGTCTGTTTTTAATAACTTACTTATCTTGCATCAAATGTTGTAGCTTAATAAATAAAATGGTATGAAAAGGTGAAGAACTCTGAAAATTGTGCAGCTTTCCTCAACTTATTCCCAGAATTTTCCTTCAGAGCCTTTATAAACAATTTCCTGATGCAAAGGTTCCCCAAAGAGGCCTGCATATGCTAAATTAACTCTCCCCTGCCATTATTACCACTTATGTGGAAATAATTGCTGATTTACATTAGGAAATTACATAACAATATGTACATCAACCTTTTCCAGAAATTATATACACATGTTTTCTCCTAATTTTCCTATTTTTCCCTATTTGCACTAAAACATTTTACCTAAAAATTGAATGTTTCAGGGAGATTGTTATAGAAGAAAAACTTCTTTTGATGACAGTGACTTTGACGCTCGTCTCAACAGTTGGAATCTTGGGGTAAATTTGGTTTTTCTCTTCATTTTTTTTTTATTTCAAAATATTACTAGTTTAATCCCTGCATTCAGTATGTGCAACGTGACTTTACATATGATGTTCTAAACTGAGTTGGAAAGAAACTAAAATAAATTCTGGTGTTTTTAAAGGTATTTAAGAATCCAAAACTTTATTTTCCAACTAGACTTCTTTAGGAAATCCATCAGGAAGATGTACAGCAGCAGATTTCTTTCTGTATTTCACCATCTGGAATTCAGAGATACACTACGGTTTATTTTGGAGGCTGTATATGACGGTCATGACTAGTAGCTATTTGTACATCAAATAAATCTAATCTCTCAAAACCCATGTAAGGAAAGTGTTAGATGATGGGAACAGAAAATTAAAAGGTCAGCGGTCCTGCAGAGAGTTGTGGATAATATCACATAAGATTGGAAAGATACAGGATGATGGATTTTTGTTGCTTTCATGTGTTTCATATGATGGGAGGCTATGTTCGTATGAGGAGAGGGGTTTTTTTCCTCTGAAAAATCACTATTTTTGCCCCTATCAAATAGTTATGTCATTTCAGGAATTGGTACAACTATTTAAGAAGTTTCAGAAAGGTTCTACATTTGTAGCCCTATGAACTCTAAAGCGTCTCTTTGCTTTCAGACCTGAAGTGCTACATAGCCTAATGCCAAATAAATGGTTTTGTAGATGGCCCTGCCTCAGCCTATGCAGTCTCGTCAGTTTGTTAATCAAATTGCTTGGATTTTTCGGCTGATGACAGCTTACAGTGGGAACTAAATAAGTTTTTAAAATCTTGAATTGTGTCTATTTATTCAAGGTATATACCACATAATTTCTAATTACTCTGGATGGTTCACAAAAAGCTTAAAAATATCAAATAACAGTACATCAATAAGAAATATAGATGGGAAAATCAGATAGCAACAAATATACAAACACTCTTCAAAAGGGTCTGTACCCATTTTGGCCAAAAGCTGGATAAAGAGCCAGGTCTTCAAGGTCCTGTAAACTTCCAGTAGGTTAGGAGCCACCTGGATTTTGGAGGGGATCTCGTTTCAGAGGGCAAGTGCTATGAGAGAGGGTGTTTTCACTATCTTGGTAGATGGTATTTAACTAAAGGAACCCAGATTTTGCCATGCTTACTGGACTGAAGTAATTGAGCAGATACTAGGGGAGATAGGTAATCCCTTGGGTAGTTGGGGCCTCTACCATGAGTAATAACAAGCACCTTGAATCACACTTGGAAACAAGCTGGAACAGAGGTGTTACATGGCCATGCTGCCTCATTCTGGACTAGTTGAAGCTTTTGGTGGTTTTCAACAACAGCCCCGTGTAGAATGCATATGTCAAACTGAAGTGACCTGATTGAGAATGATTGTTTGAAGGGCTTCCCTATTTAGGAAAGGGCACAATTGGTGTATTAGGTCAAAGTTGTGCAATAGCCTTCTTGCTCATCAAGCAGGAACTGTGAATCCCAGAAGACTGTAGATTATGTTCTATTCCTGAACGGGGAAGTGTCTCAACCAAGTTTAAACATACAACATCCTCAGGGCTAGGTAACATAGAAAAGATATAACTCTTGTTTTAGAATTTTAGAATGTAATGATTCTATTAGAACATAATTCACTTATGAATGGATTAATAGTTCATTGTATTTTCTAAAATAAGGAGTGCTTGCTAGCATTGATGATGTTACCTACTTTGGGTAATAAAACATCTTGCAAGAAAACAACCAAGCTTAGTGAGCACAAAGATCCCTCATTTCAACCCTGAGCTGCAAATATTCACCTTTATTTTTAAAAATATATTAACAAGATAATATAACTTTAACTGGTGTTTCTGCTGTTTTTTTTCTTTACAAGTAATACATGATTATCACAATTTATGTGCAAGAAGTATGTTCTAGCAAAGTTTTGCTAGAAGAAATGTTTCTTTGCTTAAAGGTTGGCTTTATGACTTATATGTTCTTCTGTGTTCGCAACTGCTTCTTGAGCAGAAAATAGAAATTGTGAACAGGGGAAACTTTGTCCAAATGCTGTGCCAGTTACACTCCCTTTGGAATGGGACATTCTTGCAAGAATCATGGTTAGCTTGAAATTGGATTGTTGAAATATATTCAGTTTGGGGCTACCTTTGAAGACTACCTGGAAGCTTAAGCTTATGGAGAATGTGGCAGTTACCTTGCTGGTAGGTGACAGCCATTTTGCTAGTGTTATGTCAATATTATGGGCTTGGCATTTGTTGGTATGCTTATGTGTACAGTTAAAAGTGCTTGACCTTCGATATAATCTTACATGGCTAGGACCTATGTTATTTAGGGAACCCCCTTCCCCAAAAACAATCTACCTGTCCTATGTAGTTAGTCCAGGAAGTGATGCTTTGGGACTTAAGAGTCAAAAGTGCTGAATCAGTGTTTGCTTGTTTAGAATATCTGTCTCACTCTGTAGTATTCTAATTCCCCAAGACAGGATTACCCTTCCACTTTTAAAATTCAGAAAGGTGGCAAAAAACTCTTTGCTTCTGGGACCCAAGGTACTCTAGTGGTTTGTTTCCAATTTCTAATTATGTTTTAATTATATTTGTTGTTTTAAATTGACTGTTTTAGGATATTTATAATGTTTTATATGAGCTTCCTAGAGTATTTAAAATTGAGCAAAATATAAATTATGTAAATAATAAATAAAAGATAGAATCTTCCCACAGGATAAAAATAAATGGATTTCTTTTTATTAAGATCAAGATTATGCATGTTTTTAAAAATAATTCCAAGGGAAAATTTAATGAAGCTTTATTATATTATCCATGATGATATTTTTCCTGAAAATCAATGGGTTCTTGCTATTATAATTAATTTCTGAAATATTTTTTAATTTATTATTTTATTGCTTTTAAAATAATAACAAAGAAATGGAAAATCCCACTAAGACAGGGGTGTCAAACTGCCGGCCTGCGGGCCAGATGCGTCATGTGGAAGCCGCGCCCACCCCATTGCCGGCAATGGCAAAACCAGCCTGATACGTTGCGCGACGTTAAGTGATGTCGCGAGTTTGACATACCTGCACTAAGATAAGAATACATTCGTTGTTAAAGAAAAAAATAGAAAATGTAATTTCTTTTTTAAAAAGTGAATAAATGTAACAAGAAAAATAGTATTCTATATCATTTAAACTATAAATAGTTACAGTTCTGTATATAGATCTGCACCTATCATCTTGGCCTTCCAAAAGAGCCTGAAGACCTGGCTCTGTCACTTGAGGTATATCATACTGGAGGTGGCTAATGGATTAAAAGAAGACTCTACCTCCACCCTGTGGGTATCTTTCTCACAATCTTTGTCAATTTTAAAGTTAATTTTAATGGTTATATTAATTATTGTAATTTTTAAATTTTTATTCCTATCCTTTTACTTGTTGTAAGCTGCCTAAAGGGTAGCTTGACGAGATGGGTAACATATAAATGTCATAGTAAATAAAAATATAAATAAATTATCTAATGGCAATTATTATTCAAATACACATATATTTCTAATATATTTATATAACTATTACATTTTAAATAACTGCATTTTGTATAAATGAGTCCCATGTTTCATTATAGTTGTCCTAACAAAGTCTACGTCTATAGGCAATCCGCTCATAGGTGGCAACTTCAGTCAGGTTAATTAATTTCTGTAACATAACGTGTCAGCGCTAAAAAAAAAGAATGGCTTTTAAATATTGAATAAAAGCTGAGAATTGAAAAGTAATCAACGAATAATGTTTGTGATGCAGCTAGATTAATGTGTTTGGGATGTCTAGTTGCTGATGTTGCTATATCAAAAAAGAAAACCTAAAGCTAAAAAGTCAGAATTACAGTACTGTGAAACTAAGTAACATACGGAGCACGAACATGAAAAAGCTTGATATAGTAAAAGATGAAATGAATCAACTACACATTAACCTCTCAGGCAATAGCAATTTGAAATGGACTGGAATTAAATGTTTTCGGTCAGGGACTCTTATTACAAAGGATATGAAAAACAAATAAGAAATGGTATTACTTTCACACTAAAGAAGGGTGTAGCTAGGATAGCTCTTGGATACAATCAGTGACCAAACAACACCTGTTAGGTTTTGTGACAACCCTTTACTATGATGTTTATCCAAGTTTATACTTCAACCATTGATGCATAAGAGGAAGAAATTGGTTAGTTTTATGATCAAGTTCAATCTGAGATCAACAGAACATAAAAGCAAGATCTGGTACTAATGGTTGGAGAGTGAAATAAGAGAATTGCAAATATTAAGGAGGAAAATGTTATTGGATTATATGGCCAAGGAAAACAAACTGAAGCAAGAGAAGAACTTTTTGCAATCCAGTGATTTCTTCATTGCCAACACAATTCTCCAACAACTAAAACAATGCCTATGTATGTGGCCATCACAGGCAGACTACACAGAAATCTAATTAATTAAGTTCTTGGTACAAGGAGTTGGAGGACCTCAGTTACAACAGCAAAGACATGACCATGCATTGATTGTGGAACAGATCACTTACAAAGTCCAAGTCAAGCTAAAGTAAAAGAACAAAAAGAACTAATTTTTATACTGTGAGGAATTGTAGAATGAAATCAAAGAAGTTGTTAAGTTGAAAGGAGACTGCAAAGATCAAAAAATAGAAGAAAGCAAACTGCTTATCTGAACACACACTGGTTATGTCCAAGTAGAGAAACCAAAGCCAAGAGAGATGAAGAGGGCAAAACTGAACAAAGAATTTCAGGCTCTAATCCTGGGAAGGTAGAAAAAGCCAGTTTGGACTCATGGTTAAGGTATCAAGCTAGAAATCAGGAAATTGAGTTCTAGTATCACCTTAGAGAAGAAACCCAGCTGGATGACTTTGGGCTATTCAATATCAGTCTAACTCACTTTGCAGGTTTGTTGTTATGGGGAAAAATAAGAGGAGGAAGGAGTATTAGGTATATTCAGTGCCTTGAGTTATTTTTAAGAATATTA